TATAGCAAACATCCACTTATGTTGTTCAGGACCAGCATTTCGCCACCAGTCATTGCAAGCGAATGAAGGCACTGATTGATTTGGGGGCTTGACATCTTGCCAGTCATCATTATTTGTTGTCGTATTCTATTTATCATTGAGTTCCAGAGTCGTAGACTTGTAGCAATGAAAGGACTTACTAATTGTCCCCGCACATCATCATCTTAAAGCGGTCAACCATTGTACGGTCAAGCCAATAGTCAGTACGGAACTTGCGCAGATCAGCTCACATGGTGCTGCCATCTATTGACGATGACCATCGCTTTAAGCTAGTATTGCCATCAATAGTCACCAGCCACTCGAAGGCGAGGTTTTCCTCGTCCTCTAATTTGTAGAAACAGCAGGGACATGAGTTGAGAAGGCGCCAGTTAGGTGTATTGCGGCCAAGCACTTCATTGATAAGGGAGTCGACACAATGTGTGATTTCAAGGTAACACGTCGTAAGTGTCTGAAAATTGCATGTTGAAATATGATCAATATGGAATCTAGAACAGAATTCATAATCAATTAGTACATAACAGGCACAGAACCAATAGCATACATTGTGAAGATGACATAAAGCCTTACATTGTGCTTGAATACTGAATTGGGGACAAGTGCGATGAGACTGTCGATATGCAGCAAGTGTGCGGATGGAGATGGCGATGGTCGGATATAGTGGAGAGCAACCCAAATATCCATGATATATCAGTGTTTCATTTGGATATTTGTGAGATGGTCAAAGTTGTAGAGAGGTGCACTTTTGACCTGGAACAATATTAATTATGAAGCCTGGAAAGATGCCATGTACTTACTAAAGATGTCAACTAAGTCAATGTTCTTGAGAGATAGGGAATCGTCGCCCAGTGTTGGCTCCTCCAAGGCATTACGTGGCATACCGTCACCACAATCTCGGGCACAATAGTTCAAGTACACCTCCACCAGACGGTCCATCTGAATGTCCCAATTTTCATTTTGAACTTCAATGCGATCGGTATGAGTTCGTGGGTCCATGTAGCGGCTGAAACACACCAGCACCACATCAGTAGGTACAAGACTTTGTTGAACGTTGAATACCATACCATCCTGAGATGTTGGCCATTTGTTGAGCCAAACCTTCAAACACCTTGTACTCACTGCCCTCGTGACTGAGCTCTACTTCCTCTTCACCAGGCGGCAGACTGTAAGGTATACTTTCTGGCTGTATGTCAACGCTACTCTCGGCAAACATGTTCTCAATGATGTCTCGATCCTTGTTGGTCATTTCTGCAAGAAATTAGATGAATATATGGATAGTCAGTCAGAAGGTACTCACCCTGTATGTGCAACCTTCGCTTTGCATCTGTTTCCTCTCTTCGCTGCCCTTGTTTCCCAGCTGTCAATACTCCAGACGTTCGAATTGAGTGCTTGAATCCATGGGTGGTTGCGGCCTTGGAAAGTCCAGTAACTTTCCTAGAAGATCCACCCAAACATATGGTGTAGTCATATGATAGGAATGGCGGTAGAGGGCACTGGCAACGACGATGAGCAAGAGCAAGGGGCGTGAGAACCCAACCTGAAAGAAACACGTACCTTTACCGAAAGCGTAAAGGGATATCTAAGGTCTGGGGTGATTTGGGACAGGATTTAATGCTGGTGTTGGGTATTATCGTAACTAAGCCTAATAATACTTAGTGATACGCGTGTTCACCCAGTATAGTAAGGCTTGCTTATTGGGAAGGTCAGGTGAACTTAGCCGGAGTAACATCCCTCAGGCATGTACTGCGCTGTTTCGTTGATGTGATCGCCAACTTAGGTCCGCAATATTGGCCCGAGCAACTTCCATCAGACATGTACTGCGCTGTTTTGTTGATGTGATCGCCAACTTAGGTCCGCAATATCAAATGCATTGGCCCGAGTGACTTCCCCCAGGCATGTACTGTTTAACCAACGTTATGGCATTCCAAATGCCGAAACAGAGCTGTTTTGTACTAGACTCATCATTTCAAGCTACCTTCTTATCTCATTACTAGACACGAGGCTCACGATACCACGCGTACAGGTTCGTACAATGGTGCCACCGAGATGGCCGTAGTACCCGAACAACTGGATTTCCAATTACGAGAATAGTCGCTTATCTGTATTGAGGGTAAATACTTATAGTCTTCTCTTGCAGTATTGTCTTATCAGGTACGATGAGTCTGACCGCTGCAGGGGCGATCGGCGAGCACACTGTGCCCAGCGAGAAAGGTCTTAGCACTAGTGACAACTCGTTCGATGGAAAAGGCGACGTTGAAACTGCAACAGTTGATGCTGACTCGGACAGCGAGGAAGGCGTGCTCTCCAACGAACGTGATATTGCTACGCACGTCATCTCGGTGGACGACGACCCTTCTCTGAACCCGTGGACATTCCGTGCATTCTTTATTGGTCTTGGCCTCTCAACCTTTGGTGGAGTACTCGGTGAGCTTCTTTGAGTTCGTTTTTAGCCAGTATGATATTTATCAATGTCAATTTGTAGCGGAAATCTATTATTTCAAGCCTGTGCGTAGTAAAGCAAGCATGACGACTTTATGTGCTCATATCATTGCCGCAGCAAACGGTTTATGTGTCATTGATGTTCCTCGCGGTTGTTTCTTATATCCTGGGCATCTTCATGGAGACCTTTATTCCTCGTCGCGGACTCCTGCGCTATCTGAACCCCGTAAGCTAGTTTACCCTCGCTCGTTCCCTCATTCTAAGCATGTTTCACAGGGACCGTTCAACAAGAAAGAAAATGCTTTCGTTGTGATCATGGCAAGCGCCTCTGCTAACTCCGCCTTAGGTACCGAAGTTCTTGCTGTCCAGCGGTCAGTGACCCTTACTCGTATTGACGGAATTTACTGATCTTTGCTAAAGATTGTATTACAATATCACGCCCAATGCCGGTGCCTCAGTGCTCCTACTCTTCTCTTCTCAACTTCTTGGGTACGAGAATTTTTGTTGAAGTTCCAGCGGATGCTGACAAAGTTTTTAGTTATGGAATTGGTGGCATGATGAGAAGTATGTCCACAATTGAGTCTGTTGTTGAACCCAGTGTTCACATACATCTACCAGGCATCCTGTTATATCCATCAAAGATGTTATACCCCGGTGTGCTACCATTGCTGTCCATGTTCGATGCTCTCTACGAGGGCGGGATGACAGCACGGAAAAAGCTCAGAGTCTTTTACATTGTGTTTACTGCGTAAGTCCCTCGATTAAGACCGGCAATGATCAAACACGCTGATCGACTCAGTATCTTTTTTTGGGAGCTTTTCCCAGAATGGATCTTTCCGCTTCTGACCGGGTTGTCGATTATGTGTCTTGCAGCTCCCAACAATGCCGCCGTCTCGCGAGTGTTTGGTGGTACAAACGGTAACGAGGGTCTAGGGCTCCTGTCTTTCTGCTTTGACTGGCAAGTAAGTGTGAAGACGAACTTCGAAGTGGATCGCGTTACTGACTGGATCTGCGACAGTATATTTCTGGCGGGGTGAACCCTATGACTATCCCGCTCAAAGCACAGGTTTGACCTCTTCTCAATTCCGAGGGCCAGAAGCCTTACATATTTTTGGACAGTTCGCGAATTTACTGGGCTACCTCCTTTGCATGTGCGATCACTCCGCCCTGATTCGAGACCTTGCATTGACTTATGTCTAGGGTTGTGTTTGCGGCTGTATATTACAACAACATCTGGAAGGCCCAGAACTTCCCATTCGTTAGTCTACAGTCATGTGCAACGGCAGAACATTGACGCCAACTCCCCACAGCTTTCTCAACTCTTGTTCTATGAAAACGGAACACAGTACAATCAAACACTCATTCTCAATTCCAACTATCAAGTCGATCCCACACTGCTTGCTGAACAAGGAATACCTTACTATTCCAGCACTTGGATAGTCAACTTGCTTTCCTCAAATCTGGCAAGTCCACCAAACGTTAGTGAGACTCTGCGGACTGACGGTTTGAAATTCTAGGCTTTGGCGGCCACGTTTACTCATCTTCTCCTCTGGAACTGGGACGATATATGTTTTGCATGGAGTTGGATGAATCCGTCGGGCATCAAAAAATTATGGGCGAATTTTGACTGGAAGTTCTGGCGAGCCGACGGAATGCGGGAGCAAGACGTCGATGATGAAGATATCGATCCCCACTACAAGCAGATGCTGAAGGTGAGTTTTGCATTTCTCTGTATTCAGCTTACTAATAAGAATATTTCTGTAACAGTACCCCGATGCTCCCAATAGCTGGTACTTCGTCGTTTTTCTCCTGTCCTTCGTTGTTGCCCTGGTCGTTTTATACAAGACCAATTCGACCTTGCCATGGTGAGTAGCTGTGATTGGAAATGTGGTCCAGGCTGACGAGCGTTAAAGGTGGGGCTTCCTTATCTCGCTCTTGCTGGCGACGATTTCTATTCTATTCTTCTGTGCACTCGCCGCGATTACAGGATTGATGTTTATCATCCAGCCGTACGTGCTTGAATTCAATTTTGATCTTCGATATTCCAATTTGGATTCAGGTTTGTCCAGATGATTGGTGGTTACCTTCACAAGGGGTTGCCAGGTGATTGCCTTGCTCGTCGTTGATTTTTAATGTGCTTTGATTGACGAATACGACAGTGGCAAATATGTACTTTGTTCTGTACGGATCCAGTATGCGTCAGCCTTGCGTTCCCAGAACAGGTCGGCTAACCCGATGTTACAGACTCTGTCACCCAAGCCAATCTATTACTCCGCGACCTCAAGATTGCTCAGTGTGCGTGTATTTCAAGCGTGTAGGAGGACAGGGCAATCTGTGTTGACCGTAATTTACAGATGCAAAGCTGCCACCTCGCGCTGCATTTACCGCCCAGATTCTTGGCACGCTGCTTGGTGCCGTCTTGAACTTCAGTGCGCACGCCACTTGTTACATGACCAAAACAATCAACTGACATTGCACATGTAGTCATGATGAATTCAATCATAGATAACCAACGTGAAATCTTGTTATCTGTTCAAGGAACCAATATCTGGTCTGGCCAACAGCCACAGATGTACAACTCTCAGGCAATTGCTTGGGGTGGACTCAGTCACGAGCTCTTTTCCGCAGGCCAGAGATACCAATGGGTTGCTTGGGCTTACGTACTCGGACTTTTCATACCTGTTCCTTTCTGGGTCATTCACAGGTACTGGCCAAAGCTTCGTGCTGATTATCTTTATACTCCAATTATCGCGTACGTTCAGTGTTCCCTGTATTACTGTCAGCATGCTCACATATTTCACAGCTATTTCATTGGATGGCTTTGTGTTGGGATCAATTCATCTACTCTCTCCTACTTTGCTGTCGCATTCCTCTCGCAATGGTGGCTGCGTACGCGCTACCCTCGCTGGTTTGCCAAATACAACTACATCATCGGAGCTGGTGAGTATTCCCGAACGTCATTAGGGACCCCGGACTGATCAAGTGATGAAGCCCTTGACGGAGGCAGTCAAGTCATGGTGTTCATCCTCTCGTTTGCGGTGCAAGGCGCTGGTGGGACCTCTCACTTGTTCCCTGCATGGTGGGGCGCGAACCAAGGAGGTAATTATGACCGCTGTCTCATGTTGAACTGAGAGTAGTAATCATCGGGCAACTGTGGGAATTATGGCATGTATCATCACTAAGTGGCTTGTATCCATTGTATTTAAGTATATTGATCATATAAGAGAATGTACTGTACATATGCATGGTGCAGCACTCTTTCCACGCCTTGAACTACGTAGCTGAGACGAGAAGCGCAGGAAAACGTGTCATTGAATGCGTGCCACGGCTGTGGAAACACGACATCAGCAAACTACCAATTTTGGATACAGGACTCCCACAGCCATACAGCGCACACAGAGCCACACAGTGGGGAGGGGCAACGCTCAGCGAAATTCAAGGTCCGACTGTGATTACCTCTTACAGTGTAGCGCCGTAACAGATGGTCAAGAAATGTATTGTCTGCTGTAGAACGATAACACGATTTTGAGACAGGGATTATAATGAGAGATGTGCATGAATTTACTAGTTGATGGTATTCTAGGAAACAGAATTTTAAAAAACACGCTTCTGATATGTCACACTCTCAATAGAAGCATTTGGACAGTAAAAATTTCATTCAACTTTACCTACAATACATCTAGCGAGTAATTCAACTGTCATCCCGGTGATCATCTCCTTTGCAGTGCGCCATGGTAAGAGGCCAGTGTAAAGTCTTTGAATGCACAGAAAATGTGATTGGTAAGCACAATTGACGTGACGCGACGCGTTACATTGCGTACTGTAAGTCATCCTGCAGGCTGATCATGTCCAAATACTCCAAGCACAATCGCTGGAAACCTTCCAAAATACGCTCTGTATCTCAGCAACAAGTCACTGCACAACTGAAGGCCTGCACAACTCACCAGCACACACAAAATAAGGAGAATATTACTCCTTTAGCCACAACTATTTCGTCAGTACTAGTTGTGAGGCTCGAGCAAGAGAAGAAGTGCAAGATTACATACCAGACACACTATAGGAACGAAAAGCGATGCCATGAACGCACAAAAACCTGTACCAACAAACTCCAGTCAAGTTTCAATGATGCACGAGCATCTGCAACTGAGGTGTCCTTGCAAGTGCAGACAACTCAAATTGCTCTTGTCACTGCAGAGCATGAGTTGAGGTACTTGTGAGAACGTAACGAGGTGCTCACCAGGCGCAATCATACTCTTGCTATGCGTGCTTCTCGTGCCCCTCTTCAGAAAGCACGGGCTGTGAATAAAGCACTTGCATGCACTGCAGTACAAGCAGAGCAGAGTACCTTTTCCCTGAAGGAGAAGAATGTGATTACGGGCAAGGTCCGTGACATGATTTGCAAGCTTGTGGCAAAACATGACATACCAGTGTCGAGTGTTCGAGACATTATTAGCGCTGTTGCCAACTGTCTCGGAATGGTTGTTGAAGGTGACATTAGCACACGCAGTATTCGGTGTGTACTCCAGGAGGCAGAGGTTCAGATGGTGGATGAAATTATGCAAGTTGATGGTAGGTAATTTCTGAAGTAGTTTGTACCTCGGGCTAAAATGATTATGAAGGCATCACGTTAAGTGGCGATGGAACATCTCACAAGAATATCAATTACCAGTCCCATCATATCATGTACACCACCCATGACGGCACCAGGGTTACTCGCTTCGCTGGTGTTCAGCATGAGGTTAATCATACCAGCGAAACCCAGCTGCAAGGCTGGAAGGACATGATACACGAGATGTGTACCGTGTACAATGAATGTATGGTTGGTGTCACGGCAGGTGTCGCAGACCCAAGGGAGCTTGTCACCAAGGTGAAGGGCATGTTGACAGATCACGCTGAGGATCAGAAAAAATTTGTCCACCTCTTCAGAGAATGGAAGGAAGTGTGTGAGAGAGAAGTGCGAGGCGAACGAGCACTGGCCACTTTACCCCCTGATGATGTCGTTGCCCTGTTATGGCAGACTACAGAAGGGGCTATTGCGGCTGCAGGAGGAATTGGAGGGTGGGAAGCACTGCCTGCCGAAGAGCGAGATCGACACTCATCCGAAGCTCGCCATCAGCTTCACATCAAGATTGGCCAGGAGCGATTTTCTGCCCTTACCCTACCTGAAAAGGAGTCTGTAGATTTCTTTGTATGGGCAGGATGCTGCATGCATAAGGACCTGAATGCTGTCAAGGGTGGAAATACTCACATGCAAGCTTGGTGGGGACATAATGGTGTTGATGGACCAGTTCTGTTGATGAACCTGTGATAACGCAGCAGCTGCATCTGGGGGGCCCTCCACTGCACAGGCACGTGCAGTGCATGTTTCCCAAGGGGGGGCTGCAAAAGCACTCGCACTCGCAGGTTCCATCTTCCATCATAAAGATGACAAGAAGGGCCAACAAGATTCTCTTCGATTTTTCCTTGAGGCACAACTTGGTTACTTCTCGCCTTGGCCCGACACAAGCAACACCCGCTACCACAGTAATTGTGATGGAGCCAGCGAGTGGCTCGTACATGAAAACTTGTATGTTGTCTACCTCAAGATCATCATGGACAGGAAGGATGCTCGCACGCACACAAACATCGAGCGAAATGTCTATTGTGCTTTTGAATGTGACAAAACGAAGCAGGAGATGGTATGTTTCAGCATGTGGGGACAGTGCATCAGCCACCCATATTTTCGCGCTGTCCATAACTCCTCAGGAAACATCCTTGACCTTGGTCCTCTCCACGATCGGCTCATCACCCACATCAAAAAGCTTATCGATAACATCGAGCTTGTCTTCGGCATGGACGCCACTTATGAGACTGCCACATTTGATGGAAAACCATTCGAGCGGCTGGAATCAGTTTACATCATTCAGCAGATTGCCCAGGACAATACAAAATACCCTCACCTTCGTTCTCTTTTCTCGCTTTCCTTGAAGGAGCGCTCGAAACTCTTATCCGCTTCTGTCGCGAGTTTGCCGCCGACGGTATAATTGCGCACACGTCACCAGAGGAACACAAGCTAGCTCACATGAATACCACCAATGATGCAAACAAGGGTGCATTGGGGACCCTTCGAGTTTCAATGCAACATGCACCTCGAATGTCCCTGGCCCACTTCAATGCCGTCTAAAATACAAGAAGAATCAGACAGGAACATACATGAAAATGGTGCTCAGTCCAGGCACACACAAATACCTGCACAAAAAGACTCATATCAATGACACTGCTGGAGCCGAGAAGAAACAACAACTTGCACAGGTGAAATATGACAAGTGGGTGGTACAACAGAACCGCGAGACTGATGCAAAGAGGAAGAAGCATTGTGAAGCTTCATCAGCAAAACTTGCAGCTGTGGTACCTCGCGTGACACCAGATGAAATCACGAAGATGCGTGTCATTGAGGTGGACTTGCAGATTTGGTGGCATTGTCAATTTGATGCAGAAGTGCCTGCAGCCAAACACCTGAAAGGAAAAAGTGAGTCGGAAAAGAAGGCTATTTTGGCAGCTGCTGCAGCTAGGTATATTTGTGGTGCCGGACCCAAGACCCAGGACGAGAATGTGCCACGGGAGGATGCAGAGTGCGCCACTGGTAGATTCTGATGATGAAGAGGGCCTGTGGTAGGGATTAATATGGACTTTCAACACTCATATAATGCATATAATATTCTAATCGCAGTCTCGATACTCGTACTGCACCTATTTTGCTTCATATATCGCCATCTTGTATGCCTTTACCCTCCTATGATTGTGTTGACCATGTATTGGGATGATATTTGCTTACATAATGTCACACTTTGTTTATGGTGGCTGCCCCTCCCCACACACAGTGCGCACAGAGCTACAGTGCACCGACACCACAAAACACCACAGACTCACAGGGACTCACAGAAACCTACAGACTTACATATGAGTCCTTTCGAAAATTTAATTTACATTTTGGGTGTGGCTGTCATGCGGTGCTAATTCCTGAGCAGCCTTAATATTTGAAAATTCTTACAACACCTATGTAGTTCTATTGAAACAAAAAGTAACTTAAAGCACTACACATTTGTGAAGGTTTGTGATAGGTAAATACAATTAAAGTGAGACAAAAACATTGTGATTCAAATACACAGGACTACTACAACCATTCATCTTTGAAAGAAAGTTCTTGGAACATGAATATTTGTGTGGCATACAAATGTGAACTAACAACATACTAGGCATGATGTCAGATTTTGGAGAACAAAATGAAATTCTGACCACTTGAAACATTCCTCACCACCAGGGTGTGCACACACCTAATGTTCATTTCCATGTCTCCCAATTGTTTCCTTGCTCTCCTAGCCCTGAGTTGGCAATAACATGTATTGACCCAAAGCTGAAGGAGGAGCTGATCAGCAAGGTCCCTTTCAACACGTCAAACTTCCATATCTGCCCATGCCATCTCCAGTAAGTACATGGCCTCCTCAGCACTCTCAGGACAAGCTGCACTAGAGGTCTATTGAAAGTCAGTGGATACATATATTTCACACCCTAAAGAAGGACTCACCTTATCAAGTGTTTCCGGATGTTCAGAAGTGGATGATGAGTTGTCTGAATAATCAAAATCTGGTAAGATTGGACATATTTTTCTGCTGTGGTCTAGGCATCTGAGTTGGAGATGAGAAATCAATTGTAGGGAAACAAAAATTTAGACAGATAGTGGGAGATAGAGAAGGATGTAATTGGTCTGGTGAAGACATTGTAGTATTGTTGAAGTTTACTCTGAAAATTGCTGAACATAACTTGCAATACTTGCAATACTGCATATTGGTATGCAGTGCCCTTCCTGTGGAAAGCACTTTCAGAATGACATAGGTGTTCTACAACATCTAAATCAAGCTACCTTGCGATGATTCAATTGGAACAACAACTTGATTCACTTCTCAGGCCCACCAGTACAATCCCTGCTAGTGGAACCTCAAGCCTCACTACCAGAAGATGAAATGAATTTCAATGACACATGCATGATGGAAGATCATCCTGGGCCAGAGCATGAGAATACTGTTGTAGAGGCTGATGATGGGGAGGAAGTGGTGTTTTATTTTGGTGCAAGCAAGACCTGGGATAGAGGAACCATGTTCATGAAGCAATTTGAGTCTGACAAGTATGCTGAGGAGAGGGTGAGCAATCTATATTTTCCATTTGCTAGCAAACCTGACTGGGAGATGGTGGCATTCCTTCTTTGGTTGGACCTCAGCATGGCAGACATTGATGAGTTTCTCAAGCTTGGAATTTGTGAAGTCCATTTGTGTTGCATCAGAATTTTCTGAACTGAGGTGAAATTAAACCAAAGAAAACTACCACTTTCATTTTGCTCTTCAAGAGAGCTCTCAGGATGCACTTAAATGCTACCATCCCCCCTCAATGGAAGTATCAAATAGTCCCTATGGAATTTCTGACAATGAAGACTCCCCCAATGTATGTGCTAAAGGATCCCTCCAGGGCACATATCCCTCTTGCTCTACTTCCAGTTGCAAAATTTATTCATAGGGTCATGGTGTTCTGGCAGACCGGTGTGAAAGAGAAATAGCGACTAGGCTTGTTAGAAACTAGCGCCACTTATCCAAATAAGCGCAAGTGTAGTAGTCGACCCAAGAGGACTGCTATTGAAGCAACTCCCTTCTAATATGCAAGGGTAGCGATAGCATGAAGGACTAATAACCTATAGCGACCTAAGACAAAAAACTGATGAGTAGCGCTATAGCGATCAGCAACAAGTGAGTTCCGACAGAGAAACGTGCATATAAGTGAGATGCGCTATGCAGGTTGTTTTATGCGATAGCGCTATGCAACGTCTGACTAGTGACAGCGAGAAGAAATCAAAGGGAGCGAAAGCAAGGAGTAAGGTAAGACAGTGCAAGTGAAATGCCTGATAGCGACTAGATTATAGCTCGACTACTGATAGCGATCCCGACGTTGCGACAGTCAAACTTAAGAGGGAACTTTAGCGACACACACTTAAAGCAAGTCAAGCGACACGCGATCAAAGAGATTGGCAAGAGCGGAATTGATTCACCAAGACTAGGATATAGCGACTAAAGTGACTCTGACACCAGCGAAGGTCCGGGGAAGGGGAAGTGATATACTGTATGTACGATGAGCCATTTTATCATTACTGCGTAAGCGTTCGGGATGCGCAGGTGAGAATAGTAGTGATACAGGCGAGGAGAGCACGATGCGTGTACAGGTAATAAGACATGTAGCACTGCGGAACACGAGGATACATGTAATAAGACCTGCGACTGATCAGTAGTGACAATTAAGGACTAATAATGCACCAGCGGAGGTAGGTGGACATAGGCGGGGACATGGGGAGGACAGAGTACCAGGGCGTTGGACCGGGCAGTGCGCTATGGGAGAAAAATGATTCCAAAGCGGATAGCTTGGGAGTTTGATAGCGCTGGTAACTAGCACTTTACTCTTTTCCTCTAGGCAAGGCAAAATATGCCTATGACACTCATACACGCCTAGCGCTGGTATGTTTGTCACACTGGTTGCTTCATTAATGCATTGATATTGTGATTGAGCTGTTGGAGCAAGCTGCATGCCTGGCATGCCTGGGCATCATGATGAGTGATCCAGCAGGGTTCAGCAGATACTGTTCATGCACATTGTTGCTTATGTAACCGACACTCCAGAGGAGCTTGTCATTGCTTGCACTACCACGAATGCATCGCCTGTCACTATGGCTACATGTGCCAACTTTGGGGACCTAGACCGATGTCATGCATGGGTATGTGACTCATACCATGACATATACACAGCAGGAGTAATAAGGAAGGTATAATACACCAGAATGTATCCTATCACCAAGTTCCCTGTCATTTTTCCTTCATTCTTAGCTAGTATTTTCACTTTCAAACTTCACTTCTATTTTTTCCATGTGTTTCTATTTTGTTTCATGAATTCTATCTCTTTCCATTTTTCTAGGCATATTTAACCATCGCACTTCCTCTCCAGCCACAAAGCATGTTTGTAAGCTTGACATGTGAACTGGTTAATAGTCTGGTTTGTAAGGATTCAAACTTGACTCATCATGTTTTTGTCAGGATTTGTCAGGATTTGTAAGACTTGCAAGTGTTTATATATAATCCACTTAGTAAGAAGGCTGATTCAGCTCACTCAAAAGATTGGTTTGTAAGCATGTTCTTACCATCCATGGGATGACTCATGTCTTTTATTCACTTCTCTTTGTAAGATTACATTGTATTAATAAGCTAGTTAGTAAGTAAGCTGACTCAACACACCAAAAGGACTGATTTGTAACAATGTTCTTACTAATCCATGTGCTGGATCATGTTTAGTAAGATGGTGTTACAGTCAAGTATGCCCCTATTCATTTTCTTCACCTTACTTGTATTATCATGTGCTGCATGATGCTGCCGCTAGACTTATCTCTGTTCCATCTTATCTGTATTAAATCACGATCACTATCATGCTGTCGCTAGGTGACCTATTCTTGCTATCTGTGACTCATCTCTTATCTTTGGCTCATTCTTGTTCTCACGCCTG